CAGAGGGGCATGGCAGAGGGGCATGGCAGAGGAGTTGGCAGAGGAGAAACAGTTCCTGGCAAGGCAAGCGGGAAGTAGAACTGCGATCAAGGGAGAAGGAGGGATATATGCCAGTCGAGGTCATGCCCACAGTGACCCACCTCTTCCCACTAGGCTTCACCTCACAATATCACACCCAGCTGTAAACTCATTGTGGACTAATCCAGTAACCCATTCCATGATGCAGTCACCTTCCCAAAGGCCCACCTATGAGTGCATGAAGCTTTGTTGGGACATCTAGATATAAACTATAACATACAGTGGATCCTTGAGTTATGACTGACCTCATATATGAACAACTCAGGTTATGACCAGAATTTTAGGTTTAACTTATGAGCAAAGTTTTGAGTTATGACCAAAATGCCAGCCACTTGTGCAGTTGTAAACAAAGACTTACGGTGTCAGAAAAGCACATGTAAGCATACATAATCATCAGTCTGAGCCCAGATGCACATCTTTGTGGATGTGATTTCACTCAGTGCTTTGTATAACTGCTACAATTACTGCTATCAGAATAGTCCTGGAAAATCTAGAAAAGAAGCTAAGGAAGGAAGGGAAAGGAAAAAAGCAATCACAATTGAAAGAAGAAGGAAAGTGTGGAGAAATATGAGAGTGGTGTTCATGTGACCAATCTCGCTAATATGTACAGCATGTCAACATCCACCATCCTGACAGTCTTGCGGAGAAAAGATTTGTATAGGGAAGCTAGTGTTGCTAAAGGTGTTACTCAAATTAGTAAGTCATGATCAGTAGTGTTAGATGAAGTAGAAAGGCTATTATTAGTGTGGTTAAATGAAAGGCAGATGGCAGGTTATAGCCTGAGACTATAGCTTGTGAAAAAGCAAGGAATATAATTCAAATCTTGTAAAGGATAAGAACCGGGGTTCAACTATCCTTTATAGGCTTGTGGCCTGGCATTTGCTTCTCTTTCTGGGTAATGTATGTTCTCCTGGGCATTTTCTTCCAGAAGAGGTCAGTTTCATCACAGTTGAAAACTTGATGAGAGCAAAAGCTATTTCTCTGTGTCATCATTTTGAAGTGGTGTATGTAATTTTCAGGCCCTCTTATCAGCACTGGCTGCTTCACCATGCCTAGTTATGCTATGAACCCCAGTTCTTGCTTCAAAACTGTGAAACCACCCCCCTACTGACACAAAATGTTTCACCATTAGCACTCAGTGGGTTATCCTTTAAGAGATCTGGATAATTTGTTAAGAAAAGAGATTTAAGTTGGCTTGTGGTTCTGGAGGTTGGGAAATCCAAGAGTTTGTCACCTAGAGGTGCTTGGCTTCTGGTGAAGACCTCATTTTGTGCCAACTCATGGCACAGAGGTGGAAGGGGAAGGGGAATTGCAGAAAGAGAGTATGAGTGCAAGACAGTGAGGGGAGGTGCCAGGCTTACTTGATAACAACCTGCTCCGGTGATACCTAATGTACCCTCAGGGAACTACGTTAACCCTTCGTGAGGGTGGAGACCTCCTGATGTAATTACCTTTTAAAGGTTCCACAGCCTCTCAACAATGTTCCACTGGGGAACAACCTCAGTCAGTTTTTATGGTGACGAACTACATCCAAACCATAGCACTGAGAATCTATACTCTCTTCTAGGGCATCTTTCTCTTTGTATCCTCTGGGGATGGAATAGTTCAGTATCTGACCATGAGGCCATAAAGGACCCTTACCCATACATAAGTCCCCAAGGATTCTTCCACAAAGAAGTTTCCTCATGACCTGACTTAGTGCCCCAGAATTCAAGATGGTCATAGATTAAGTCTCACAGTAGGACATGAGATAAAGTTATAAAATAAAAATGAATAAGAAAAAGAAGCACTGCAAAGAAAACCAGCCATACAATAATTATGAGTCCTGATTTTATTACCTGTTTAAATACCACAACTTAAATTTCTTTATATTTCAAATGTCTTTTGCATTTCTGTAACAGGTATCAGTAGTATTGGGAAGTTTTTTATGTCTAGTTCAAACCGAGGAAGTGAGCTAATATATTTTGCATACATACACAGCTAACATGTACTACCTAGTACTTTAGTGCAAGGAATGCTAATTAATAAATATTTCAAATACTTTACACCCAGGGAAAAGAAAAACTCTTTTTAGTCCCTTTGGCAGAAAGTCCCCAGTAATTAACTTTAATTTTCTACATCATCTCTGATTTAATGTTCTGATCATATTACAGAGTGTGCCTTAAAGACTAAATTTTAAGACCCTGTTTTGACCACAGTTGAATCCACACACTTATCTCTATGGTTACTTTTTTACAGTGCACACTGAAATTTAATACATTATCATCTAACCCTCTTCTCCAATACCTTAAATCCACAATGAGGCCATAAATCTGATAAGGAAGCAGGATTGTTCACATGATTAAAATAAATGGTAACCATGAACTCTTTTACCCACAACTATTTGCCTGAGTTCTATTTTGGGAATACAGATTATCTTATTAAATCTTGTTTCAATATAGTGAAGTGTCACTTACATGGAACTATTATATAAAAAATGAAGTTCCTCAAATCACATTTTGAAAGACAGTACTTTGTAGTGTATAGCTATTATCTCACATTTTCTACAGATGACATCGTGTATCATGTGATGCATGATTAAATACATCAAGACCTCCAACACACCTTCACTTGGAATCTGATTTGTAATCTGCTGCAAAAGAGAGTGGTATTTTGCTAACACCTGGAAATGAAGATATGTAATAAAAATTAAGTCAATAAAGGTCTAACAAAACTATTTTAGATTGTGTGTGTAAAGATGCCAGAAGGAGGGGCAATACAGATATGTGTACGTATGTTTATAATAAAAATTGAAAGGTGCCAAAGTATAAGTTTCTCCATCCATTACTTTCTTGGGAGCAAGGTTCCTGACTCTTCTATGAATTTATATGTTATTCCCAAGGCTGAGTACAATGATAGGCACACAGTGAGACTTCCATATATTCTCGCTAAATTAATAAGTGAATGTATGAACAAAACATTATGGGACATGGAGAAACTTTTGGCATGCTGGGGATAGTGGAAGTCAGTGGGTTGGTGGGAGAAGAGGTCAGGAGAGAGGTCTGTCAGTTTCTCCCCATTCTTTCTGCACCCCACTATGGCTTGCATTGGATATACCCTCAAAAGACAACTTGTGTTGAAAGCTTGGTTGCTGATGACGCTGTGGCTTGACAACTGGTGGTCAACTTGTAACATCCAGTTGAAATGAATCAGCATGGTTCCGGGTGTGGGAGGTCCACCTGAGGACTGTTGCCAGCAGCACGAGGCAGAAATGAAGAAGAAGAATTGAAGCCACTGGGAGCTGCGAGAGGCTGTTGGGAGCTGGTAGAAGCTGTTGGGAGCCTGTTGGAAGCTACTGACAAGCTGTAGAGAGCTGTTGGTTTTCCTGGAGGAGTTTGCTATGCTGGCTTTCCTGATGAACTTGGCTGCTCTCATCAGAGGAGGAGGCTGGGAACTTATTGTTCTTGAGAATGCCTACGGATCACTTTGTGGGGAGGCTTTGGTCCTCACTTTGAGCATTGTTTCCTGGCTCCGGAGGGGAAGAAGGTGCACAGCTCAGTTTCCTGAAGAAGCCTGTCACATTGGCTTTTCTGATGGGAACTCAGCTTTCCTCACCATTGGAGGAGTTCGGGACTTCACTGTTGCTGAGGATGGCTGTAGTTTTTCAGGGGAACTCTAGTTCTTACTTTGAGCGTCGTTTCCTGGCTCCAGGGCAGATCCCTCAGCCTGCTAGCACATTTGTGCTTCATCCTGGTGGCATAGACTTTCTAGCTTCCGCCACTGACCTTTGGGCCTTCCCAGCGCAGATCCGTGAAACAGGCCTTGAGACATTTTCATGGGCTCTAGGCCTCCAGCTGGACTCATGGGAGGCATTGTTATGGGCTCTAGGTCTTTATTTGGACTCATGTAGGACATTACCGTGGGATCCAGGCCCTCAGCTGGATTCTTTGGTCTTTAGTGTGTGGACAGATTTCCTGCACTCTCTTGTCTATGATTCTTTGGGTAACTCTTATAAATAATCTTATAAAATATGTGTCCTGTATTGTTCCCCTTGCAAAAGCCACAAACCACCACAGATGTCAGGCAATGAAGATGGAAAGGGAAACCAGACCAGATACGGGGAGATCCTGTTCTGCCTCTCAAAGGTTTGGGTTTTACCCTGTGGCCAAGAAGCTACTGCATAGCAGGTGTGGAGGATGATGGGAGACTCCAATATCACACCTCATATACGAAGGAACCATGGACAACCAATCTGGTTAAAGAAGGAACAGAAATTCAGACAGGCTACAAGGCTTTCCAAAGTTAAAGACAGAGGTGAGATAACTACACCAGCAGAATCCACCTATGGTCTGTGGGCTGACCACACCAGGACCAACTCCCAGTCCCACTCCAGACTTCCTGGCCCAGAATCTCTTAGGATGGGTTCTAGGAATTTGCATTTTTTGTGATTAAAAACACAGTCAATGGTATATTTTAAATGCATTACAGTGAAAGACACATTGCCTTCATCCTGCTGGGAATACTTCCCCATCTTTCAAACATGTATCCTTTTTGTTTTAGTACATGTTTGCAGTACACAGTGATTACAATTGTCGTGGGGAGTTGGTACATGTATACAACACATCTCAATTCTTTTCTTCCATTTTTTTTCCATCTCCTACCTCCCCTCTCCTTCCCTGCCCCTTCCAACTCTTGATCCTTTTCCCATTTGAAAAAGCTTTGAAATTTGAAGGAATTTGCATTTTTAAACAAGCTCTTCAGGGTGCTGGATAGTTGAAAACCACTGAACCTTACCAGACTGCTTTTAAAAATATATCGTTTATTAAAAAGATGAAGCCTGTGTGGCTACAGCTTCAAACAGCAATCGAGCCAGCGTCTGGGCAAGCCAGCGGGAGAAACATGCGGAACTTCCGGCGCGCCGCCCCCTCAGCGTCCGGTTGCCCTGGAGACGCGGCGTTGGCCCCGCCCACGGCTGGCGACCGGCGGCAGCGGCGGTCCAGGCGCGAAGACGGCGGCGGCTCGCAGGCGAGGCCCCGCAGAGCGCCCCTCTCTGGGGAACCCGACGAAGGAGACCTGAGGCCGCGCGTCCCCTGGGAAAAGCTGCATTTGAACCAAACCTTCTTTTCAGCCGCCGCAGCCGGGCTCCCAGGGCCTGTGGCGCCTCCAGCGTCGGTGCCCAGGTGCAGCGGCCGCCGCGTCTGCGCCCCCAGAACCCCGGGGAGACATCCGCCGTCGGGGTAAGGGCGGGATCGCTGGGGCGCGGTGTCCCCGGGGTCTCCAGCCGGCCGCGCCTCCGGAAGTTTCTCTCAGGGACCTCAGGGTGGGCGGCGGACGTAGGCCGGGCAGTGTCACCCCGTAGTCTCCACGCCCCGAGGGAAGTGCGGCCCGAGCCGCGATGTACCCGCGTCGCTCCTTCTTTTCACAGAGAAGATGCTGAAGACACGAGGAGAAGCCTCCCCTGGACCGTCTGACTTGTAACCGAAGCCTTCCGGGCTGGGGCGCCGCGGGGCCAGCATGGTGAACTCCATCAGCGAGCTGGAGTTTTCTAACGACCGAAGTAACGAGGAGATCTCCCAGGTCGCGCTCCTGCAGTTGTCGGACGACGCCGCGCTCAGACCAAGAAGTTCAGCGGGCGTCGCGGAAAGAACTGGCTACCCCGACCCCGTGTACGTGATGGCCGCGAACATTTTCCAGGGTATTCGAGTGGAAAAGTCGCCAGACAAAGTCATAATCAAGTACGGGAACGAACCTCTGCGGGCGTCGGCGCAGTCTGAGGATGAAACAGTCCGGCGTCTGTCCTACGAGCTGGCCTTCAGCGCCCTCAAATGTGAGTAGTCCCGGCCTTGGAGGTGAGCGCTGAAAGAAAGTAACGGGAGAGTCCGGGGCGCAGCCCCCGCGCCCGCACACCGCGCAGGCTGTTGTGCTCCTCCCCAAGCGCGCATCGCTGGGTAACGGCGGACCCCAGGGCATGCGGGGTGTTCAGTGAAGCTAGCAGTTTTTACCGCGAGTCCCCCGACTCCCCGTGCCTAGAAGTATTTTGTCCTCAGGTATTGCAGTCATCAAAATGTGCAAGAAACAATTTAATAAGTGGAGAACAGGAGCCCACGGAAATATCCAAGTATCATTTTGGTGTGTGAGTGTGTGTGTGAGTAGGGGAGAGTGAACCTAGGGCCATGGATCACACTGAGCTATGTCCTCAGCACAACCCCTTCCCGTTATTGAGGCTGGATCTCCTCACTGAGTCTTTCAGTTGGCTGGGCTGGACTCAAATTTGTGATCCTCTTGCCTCAGCCTCCTGGAGTAGTGAGATTACAGGTGTTTCCCTCTCCTCCTGTTATTTTGGTCTATGAGCTCTAACAAATAGAAAAACCATTAAGGGTAAGCGAGGAGAGGAACAGAGACAAAATAAAAAGAAAGGATGCAATATTTAAAAAATGAATATCAAAATTAAGCCAATCCAGGGATGATCATCCCATTCTTAACCAACAGCTTTCATTTGGGGAGCCAAACCTGAGCAGAATTTCCCCTCCTAATTTATCTTCAGAGCTTCAGACCCAGTGTTTCCAGTTCCCTCACCCGTGGTTAATCTGTCAGCTGCAGTGTGGCGCTGATTTCAGGAAGGGACCCGCTATGGTTACCATGAGGAGAGCTTCACAGGGCCTGAAGAAGTTGCTCTTCTCGGTAGTTTTGACTGTGAACTTTAGAGGTTTTTGTTGTTGTTGTTGTTTTGGTTTTTTTTAGACAGGCTTTTGCTGTGTAGTTCAGGCCGGCCTTGAACTCACTATGCAGCCCAGGCTGTCCTCAAACCCACGACAATCGATCGTCCTGTTTCCACTTCCCCAGTGCTGGGATTGCAGGCGTGCACCACCACACCCGGCCATTATTTTTAGGAGTCTGTGGACGTGCTGCTGCTCCACTCTGCCTTCTGGAATTTGTCATCACAGAGAAAAATTTGATGTTTAAAGAAATTTCCTATTGTCCTCTCTGTGTTTTCTTCTGTTGATGTTTTACTTTTTAAGTCTGTCTTATCCGTTTTCCTCCTCCAGTTTTATCTTTCAGATTCTGTTTCATTTCTTTCTGCCTTTACCACCAACCAGTGTTGCCTTTTACACCGTCACACTGCAGAGGCAAAATGCAGCCGGGCAGCTATGTCGGTTAATTGGTAGTTAATGTTAATGCTAGAATTCTATAATGGGCAGTTTTCCTAATAGAATATTGAATTTTATCTTTAGAAATCAATAATAAGGCCAGTGTGGTGACAGATCCTTGTAATCCCAGCTCCTCAGGTAGCTCAGGCAGGAGGATTGTGAATTCAGGGCCAACACTGGCAACTTAGTGAGACCCTATCTCAAAAATTTTTTAAGAGGCTGAGATGTGGCTAGTGCCAGAGTGCTCTCCTAGGATTCACAAGGACCTGAGTTCAAGTCCCAATGCTGGGGGAAAAAAGGAAGAAAAGGAGGAGGGGAAGAAGGGAGGGAGAGAGGGAAGAGGGAAGAAAGAAAAACAATAATAAAGGCCTGAAGTACTTCATATAAAACTAACTGGATGGTTGTGTTATAGAGCTGTTTTGAGTAGATTATCTTTTTCTTCCTCTCAATCCTGTTTTCTGTTTTATGAAAGGGTCTTGTGACTATTTGATCTTTCTTAATGAGTCAGAAAATCCTGTTCAGGTAAACATTTATCAAAGTTCTTTACAAATCTGCCTTTCCTTGCCACATCCTTTTTATTAATTCAAACTTGTAATGTTGGTTGTTTACTTGTTTAAAATATTCGTATACGAATGCTATCCTGCTTTAAATTGTCACCTCAGTAACTTCTGAATATTCAGAAAGAATAAAATCAGAATGCTGGGGGCTGCTGGCATCAAGCAGTGGTAGAGCGCATACTCAGCACTTGCCAGGCCTTGCGTTCCATCCCTGTGGCACCGCAGAGTAAAAATAAAAATAATCAGAATCTCAAGGTAGTGAGTTTTCCAACATAATTAAGAGTCTGATCTTTTACTTTTAAAATTTTGGCAGCTTTTGTGTTATTTCACTTGTATCTTCTGTAGTGTTCTGGCAATCCTTTCACTTGTGAGATTTTGTAAATCAGGGAATGATAGTTTAGAAAAGAAAATTCCACATTTCCTCCATGAAGCCTTATAGAGTGGTGGAAAATGATTGTACAAATTGAAGAGTGCTTGGGTAATGGTCCCTTTTGTTTGTTAGTTTGTGAATAGGAAGTTAGAGCACACTATCATATTTTTTTTAAGAAAGTAGGACAGAGAAAAATGACAAAATTTCTTGACTATACAAAACCTGAGTGTGTCCCTTTGGTTCTGCTTTATACTTTTCAGCTTCATTGTTTGTTTATTGATGTCTGTTGTGCATAAACTCTCTCAAGCAGGGTTTACATATATCTGATTAACCTTTTAAAGGTTAGAAGGCTAAATACAATATTTTTTAAAGTGAAGATTGCCACTAGTCCTGCCTTACTAAATAATCCCAAGATCAGTTTTCTGCTAAACAAGATTACTAGTGAAGAAACACTTATTCCCGTGAAGTTTGACTTTTGTCAAAGTAGTAGAGTACTATGAAGCTAGTTTATTTTTCAAAGAATCTATGTATCTTTCAAGGAATACTAAATATTTAAAGAAAGAGAAAAACTGGCAAAAATGGGTTCTTGAGAAAGGATTGAACAAATAAAACTAAATGAAGATGTCCCTGAAGTTGCTGATGTTTTTTTTGACTTAATTCTGTCTCCAGCTTCCCTAGCTGTATATAGTAGTTGGCAAATTTTCAGTCCCAGAACTCTGTCGTTAACCTGGTCCTTTTGGAGCCATATAACCTGTCAGTAAAAAAAACCTAGTGAATGCTTAACATTTACTGGTTATTTGGTTCTAGCTCTTGGGAATTAGTAATTTCAGTCAAGGAATCTGATGCTCACCTCCAGATTCAGCAATTCCCTGAAAGGACCCACAGAAGACATTGGACTCATGGAACTTTATACAGTGCTTCATTGTCCTGCTGAAGATGTGTGACAGCAGGAATGCAGTTTCACCAACCAAGAAATCTCACCCTGTTTACTGTCTAGGCAGAGTGCCCATGTGCTACTGTGTAGCCCAAGGCCCCAGGTAAACAAAGACATCTCATCAGGCAAGACATTTCAAAGGCTTACAGTTATCTCCTAGGAGGTGGTCAAGGGCTAAACCTTTCCTTAGAATATGCAGTTTGGTCACCCCGGCCTGCTGAGTTAATTATTGACCATATGATGATTCATTAGGGAGATGATCCTGATCAATAACTTCCTGTGTGCTGGTTGTCACAGAAGAGGTTAAAACAATTCGCTGTGTGACAATAGTAGTCCTTTACATTTGTGTAGCTCTTTATAATCCACAGAGTACTTTATTACATTTGAATGCCAGTCCTCTGAGGTGGAATATTCTTATTTTGTAGATGAAAAATATTGGGAGAAGCTCAAGAGGACATTAAATGGTATACCTAAAGAAGCCAGTGATGATGCTAAAGAAAAAAAAGTATTGGCCGGGCGTGGTGGCACACGCCTGTAATCCCAGCACTTAGGAGGCTGAGGTAGGAGGATCATTGCTCGAGAGTTCAAGACTAGCCTGGGCTACAAAATGAGCTCAAGGCCAGCCTGAACTGCATAGTGAAACCCTGTCTCAAAAAAAAAGTGTGATCTGGCTGAGAGGAGGCAGAGTAAAAACTTCCATCCCTAATTCTAGTTTTCATTTTTTATAATCCAACATTCTTTTATTTTCACTGCATAATGATTGATGGCTTCTTTTCCCTATTATGTCCTTTTTATTTACTTATTTTTTTGAGACAGGTCTCAGTATACAGTTCAGGTTGGCCTCAAACTCACAGCAATCCTCTTGCTCAGTCTCCCTGAGTGCTGGAATTACAGATGTGTGCCGCTGCTCCCGGCACCTATTGTATCCTTCTATCACATATTCTTTAAAAGTGTTAGTGGCCAGTCTTGTGAATTATACCAAGAAGACTTAAATAATTTTTCCAGGTTTCCCTCCACATCCTCGCATTAAACATTGTGTATCTATTTATAATTATAGGCAGGCCTTCGCATTTGTGAAGTGAAGGCTGTAGAAGTCTTTTGTATGAAAATACTCTAAATAAAAATGGGGAGAAAGAGCTTAGGGGAGAGTGAAGAGAAGAGACATCTTCCATCTTCTGAAATGGGAACAACGACCAGATGAACTGTGAATGTCAGGGGGCCAGCTAGCAACATTCCTCCTTTACCTCTGAGTTTGGAACCAGTTGAGAGCGATACAAGAAATGGGGGTCGTGGGTTTAGATCTCCAGTCAGGTGGACTTACAGATCCTTTACTCCTGAACTAGAGGTTCCCCCTAACCCAGGGTGAGGCTGGGTTTCTCAGACCTCTCCACCCCTGGAGAGCCTTCATGTTTCCTACACACAAGCTGGCAGGGAGAAGGGGAGCAGGACAGATGCCCGGTTTCTTCTTCCAATTTCACTCATCAAATAAGCCTGATTTTGCTTTTGGAGGAAGTGACGAGCAGAGGGTGGGAAGAGTCCACAGGGAATTCAGTGGAGGCAAACCAAAGAATTCTCTGTAGCTTTTATTCGTGGAAGGAGGGGGACAACTGGAATTAGTAGACTGAATTCTAGAATAGGCAAGGTTTGCAACTGAGGCATTAGAAGTATGTCTCACTTGGCCACTTGGATTTGTTTTGGATTGCTCAAAAGAAAGGGGAACTTGGGGAGGCGATAAAGAAGGATAAAATGGAAAGAAAACTGTGTAAATAAGGAGGGGAAGAGGGGCTGAAGGGAGGGGAGGGGCTGGGGAAGAGAAAGGAGGATTCCAGATATAGCATGTATAGGCACAAATTCCTTATGATGAATGTGATCATTATGTATATCTAAATTGTACCAATCAATTTAATAAGAACTTTTAAAAGACTAACATGAGGAAAGACAGCATAATGTGGGGAAGAGAATCCACTCAGGTGCCACTGTCTGGGGTTAAGTCCCTGATCTGTCACTTACTGTGTGAATGGGAACATGTTATTTAAATATTCTGCACCTCATTTCCTACAAAACAGGGTCAGTGCTAGGACCCAACTCATAGGACTGTTGTAGAGAGTAAATAAATATATCAAAAGCCTTTAGAAGAATATGTACAACATAAAATTGCCGTTTGTAGTTACTATTAACATTGATATTGCTATGTGAGAATGTTATGTAAATCACTAATATACAAAGATAATGCATTCTTTACAGTATCACATACACTAGTTTTGGCAAGAGCCCTAGAACACAAATGTAGTGTTGGCAAAAATGCTAACACTACATGTTAGCAAGTATGTTCTGCTTTCTGGTCCTCCATTCTGCCTCTGCTCTGCTGTAGGAATCTAGCACCCCGGTGCCCACAGCTCCACAGCCGCTGCAGTCTGCCACGGTGGAAACCCTTCATACTTCTGCGGCTGCATCTTCTGGGATTTGCGCTGGGAAACAATGAAGTTGATTGGAATTGGTTTGCAAGTTCGAAGGATGTGAAACTCTGGAGTTCATTCCACTATGAATGAAATGAGAATGTTACCTTGTATAAATATAGACAATGATTCTTAAAAGATTTCCTATGAAAATTGAAGCCTGTGTTCCCAGATTAATCTTCCTTCTGGGTTTCCCATCTCTCAAAGATTAAAATTCCATGTGTGCATTCCTTGTAATAGGTTTTCTTTTTTCTTTTTTTTTTTTTTTGTTTTTGTCTTTTTGAGAGAGGGTCTCACTGTACAATTCAGGCTGGCCTTGAGCTCACCTTGTAGCTCATGCTGGTCTTGAACTCACAGCAATCCTCCTCCTCAGCCTCACAAGTGCTGGGATTACAGGCGTTCGCCACCATGCCCAGCCCTATAATAGGTTTTCTATAAACATTGAATGAATGTAAGACAGACCTTGCTTTCTGTTTAACTGATTGAAACATCTGCTCTGTGGTACACATTTAAGAACTTGTGTCAAAAGAGAACACTTACAACCCTGTGGAGGTTTTCAAATATACCCACTTGTTTCCACCTAGTACTTACGATTAGTCATTTATTCTCCCTCACTGGACTGCGGTTCCTACTCAGATCTTTATGTGGCAACTCCTTATCATTCGAATCTTAGATTAAATGTCATCTCAGTGTCTTCACTAATGAGTTCTACTAAATATTTAAGCTAGAAATAATGCCATTCTATCACAAACTGTTGGAGAGGACTGAGGAAGAGGGAACACTGCCCACTTGCTCTGTAAGGCCAGCCTAGCTCAGCTATCAACATTGACAAGGATGCTATGAGAAAAAGTACAGACCAGTATCCCTCACAAACATAGAACAAAATTCCTAAAAATGTCTTAGCAATATAATCCAGCACTACTTAAAGTGGATAAGAGAAGAACGTTACATTATTAATTAGGTCCTCTTCAGTGTTTTTGTTTTATTTATTTATTTATTTTTTGGTTTTTCTCCGGTACCGGGAACCGAACTCACGACCTTGTGCTTGCCAGGCAGGCGCTTTGCCGCTGAGCTAAATCCCCAGCCCCCTCTTCAGTGTTTTTGAAAGGCCGTAAGTTAAAGACCAGAATTCCTTTATTCTTTGATTATTCATATTCTTTGACTGGGATTCTATGTGGAATCACATGGCCCAGTATTCATAAAGATTACAAAAGATTTCATCGTACCATTTTGATTTGTCTTTATCAAAACCAAGAATTGAGGCATGTTTTAGATAGGAAAATATTTAATGACTTTTTTTTTTGGTCTTTTTAAGACATGGTTTCACTATACAGTTCAGGCTGGCCTTGAACTCACTTTGTAGCCCAGGCTGACCTTGAATTCACAGCGATACTCCTGCCTCAGCCTCCTGAGTGCGAGGATTACAGGGGTGCACCACCACATCCGCCCTTAATGACATTATTAAAAGTGTACCTGGATTCCAAAGTTTTCATTTTCAGCTTTGGTATTTTTAGTGACAGGCTTTTCTTTTGTCTTGCAGATCAAGATATTTTGGAAACTATATTAATAGATAGCTATGTGTTCCCAAGCACCACAATAGTAAGTAGACAACTTTCGAAATTAGCTTGTCTCATGATTATTTTTTAAGAAAGAATTCAACAGCTTTCAGATTTATTTATTTTTTTTTTCTTTTTTTGCCTTTTTGAGACAGGGTCTCGCTATGCAGTTCAGGCTGGCCTTGAGCTCACTTTGTAGCCCAGGCTGGTCTGGACTCACAACTATATCCCTGCCTCAGCCTCCCAAGTGCTGGGATTACAGGCGTGCACCACCACGCCCGGCCCCATATTTAAATAGTAACTAATTTTCTTCCTGTTGATACCTCTTCAAAATACAGACTGTTTCCTACTTTGATTACTTTTTATACCAACCTTTGTCCTTTCATTTTGATGACTGTATCAAAAATTTTCTTTTTTGAAAGGCTTATTTTTTTTGCTGGATTTTCCCTGTATTTAGAAGACCTTTCCTAATGTCAAATTAATCAGACTGTAAAACTTGTCATATTCCTGCTGGGCATGAAAACTAATGGGATCTAAAATATTACTATTAGATATTGTTTATATACTTTTTTTATGTCGTTTCCCTTTGGTAGCCAGATCATTTGAGCAGCCTTATTATTGTGATGCTGTATGATTTCCAAGATAGAAAATTTCAAACTCGTGTCCTTTCTGGTAATGAAGAGTCCATATCAGAAGTTCAAGAAGTAGAGGACCTTCTTCACAGGTAACATAAAAGTGAAAATGAGTTTTTATGTGAAATAAATACCAGTGTTGTCATTGGCAAAACTGTATACAATATAATATGTAGATAAGTGTTAAAAATTTATGGAGAAAAAGCATAAAGTTCATAAGTTTGAGTTCTTTTACAGTCTTGAACAGATATAATATTCTATTCAAAATCAAATTGACAGCCAGGTGTGGTGGTGCAGGCCTGTAATTCTAGCACTTGGGAGGCTAAAGGCCAGCCTGGGCTGTATAGCAAGTTTAAGGCCAGTGTGAACTACATAGCGAGACCTTATGTTAACCCCCACCCTGCCAACCCCCAAATAAAATCAAATCGCTTTGAAAGCTTGAATTGCAAGACTGAATGTGTAAGCATGTGGGCAATCATTAAAAATCCCTCATAATTTTTAGCACACACATAAATTAGGCTTCACTACAAACAGCTATCATTTGTTTCTTAAGCTTTATTTGCAGCTTTAAAAAATTTAACATATCAAATGAGAAACTCCAACAACAGATAAGAACTCACTATTTTGCCAAATTGAAAAAAATTCTATTTAGTTTAGAATAAGGTGGCATGTTTTAAATTTGTCCTATATCAACAGAAGCCTGCTGATAGGATAAAAAGTACCTTCCTTAAAGTCTAGCTAGGAGGACTAATTCAACTAATGCATGTAAAACGTTCAGCTTAGAGTCAGACCCATAAACAGTAAATCATAAGTGAAAATGGTCAGTAAGTCATGAGCGTATTGTTTGCTGTGGTTTGCTGTGTTCCCAGAATTTATGTGGTGGAAACTTGATTGTCATTGTGATGGTATTGGAAGGCGGGGCCTAATGGGAAGTGTTTAGGTCATGAGGGCTTCACCCTTCTGAATGACTGACACCATCATTAAAAGGGCTTCCAGGAACTGGTGTGTGGCTTAGCACCTGCCTAGCATGTGTGAGGCCCTGGGTTCAATCCCCAGCATTAAAAAAATGGGGGTGGTGCTCTCCTGAGTGCTTGCCCTTCTGCCTTCCACCATGTCATGACTCAGCAAGATGTCAGTGGCTTGATCTTGGTCTTCCAGAACTGTGAGAAAATAAGTTTTTCTTCTTTATAAGTTACTCAGTTTCTGAAAACCTGTCATAGCAACACAAACAGACTAACACACTGTTGGTTATAGCTTTTGTTATTACACTGTTGAACTTTAATAGAACTCCCCCCCACAGCAACAATGACAAGGTTACAGGAAAATTTTTATTTACTGAATAGTCTGACATAGTCATACGCAGGATGTCTGGTTTTATATTTTTATGGGAAATTCAACCCATTCTATTTTAATTATTGAAAGCTTGGAACCCAGATGGTAGCGTAATACTAACAGCTTTATTAAACACTTAGTATGTCTCAATTACTCTTTTAAGAAGCTGTTTATGTAAGAACCTTATGAACTGGTTACTGTTATCAACCTGTAACAGTATTTTGCACTGGGGAAACTGAGCAGCAGGCAGGTTAAGGGAACCTGCCCAAAGCCACAGAGCTAGAAGAGGGAGTAACCCGAAATCAAGCTCAGGCACTCTGATGCCAGAGTCCACGCTTTAACCATGTATATACCCCCACTCTTTTCACTTAGAAACCCGAGGCTGGGCTGAGGGACTCTGGTAGGTTAAAGATATGACTCAGTCATGGCTCCTGTCAATCGTAGCCGCTGTGGGATGGAGAAGAACAAAAGCAACCCGATCTGTGTACTTTCTGTGTCAGATGAGTAGGGATCCAGCCGCTGCATACTGTTTGGATTTGGGAGAACCGCCTCACTGCCCGGACCGTATTGGACAACCTGCTTCCCAAGATGGCCCTACAGGATGGATGCAGAAAACTGAGGGAGCAGTGTGCTGTGGGGCAGGCTTGGGTTTCAGCCTTCCTGGGCGTCTCTTGGGTTTCGCTTTACATGGCCAGCACTTAGGCTCTAACTTAGTCTGAGAGGGGCCGATGAGAGCTGAGCTGAGGCTGAGTGCCAGGAAAGCCACAGGGCTCTAACAAAGTGAGAAAGACCAGACTGGTTGCATCCGCAGTAGACTTGAGCTCAGGACGCTAACAAGGTAGGCAGGAAAAGGACAAGCCGAGTGCCTGGCTTAGGAGTACTGAGGAGCAGGAGATACCACAGTTTACTCCTGATACCCCAGAGTTTTCCCTTTTCCCTTAATAAACGCCTTGCTCCTGGTCTGAACACAGATCTGGTTATACTGTTGTCAGTGCAATACTTCTAAATCTACAGAGGTTAATATAATCTAAATCTTACTCCCAAACTAATCAATAACGTTATACTTAATTCACTATGAAACTCAGTTCATAATATGGTACTGGAGAAATGCCAGTAGTTAGTGACTGAATTTCAGAAAACAGTAGAACAAAGATAAAGCCATAGTATTTTATTTTATTTTGGTCCTGGGAATCAAATTCAGGGCCTCGCGCTCACCAGGCAGGCCCTGTGCCGCTGAAGCCATCGCACTTTAATCCAGAGTTTTAGCTTTCAGGTAACAGAGGCTACATTCATTTAGCTTGAGCCAAAATGGAAAATGTTCTTAGAGAGATACTGAGATATCTAACATAATTAAGGGCTCAGGAAAAGAATAAAATCAAGAACTAGAGATGTTAGGACTTTATTTTTTCTCTGTCTTTTTAATCTCTGCTTTTCTCCTAGTATCTGCCTCTGTACATCTTTTTCTCTGCACACCTGCCTTCTCTGCTTCTCTGGCCAATGTGGGAAACCACCCCCCAAGTACCTGAGCTGATTGCTTACAGCCATGCACTAGTTTCCTTACTTAGACTGACTTCTTACCTCCACATCCCAATTCTACATCCCCGAAGAGTGATTTTGACTGGCTTCATGTAGGCCAGGGCACCTTCTTTTACCGGTCCCGCAAAGCCACTGTGAACAGGACAGCTGGGAGCCACCCCTGTGGATTTTCCAGGGATGGAGAGTGGGCACTGTTGTTCCTGGGGACAGAGCACTGGAAGCTCAGAGTACCTTCGTGTGTATCACCCCGGAGGATGAAGTCTAAGTTTAAGAGCCTTGGAAGAAGTAGTCGAACTGTTTCCTCTTCATGAATATCATTGACCTTCCCAGGGATTCTCTCCTTTTATCACACTTCTGCCCCAACTTGGATCTTTTGCTTTATTTATTCATGGCTCTAGTGATCAAGTCAGAGTGACACTGCTGGGCCTGCCTGGCAAGTGCAAGGTCCTCAATTCGATTCCTGGTACCAAAAAGAAAAAAAAAGATGGCACTAGTATCATTTTTGACATAGGCAAGATCTTCAAGAACTCATTCCTTGTATCAGTCCAGCTACCTGTTCAGTAGCATGTGGCTAGGTTAATAAAAGACCATTGTCTCTTCCTTTCCAATCCCTGTGCTTTCCCACCAGCCTGGGAGTCTGCTGCTGCCAAATAATTTGTTAAACTTTTATAGGCAAAGAACAAATAGAGACGCAGCCAGGGCGGGTGGTGCGGAGGACTGAGGGAGTCCATCCTCCCAGACCATCCTGAAACTTTTCAGCTGAAGTCTTCCGTGTTCCAGTTGAGGCACCACCGTGTGCTCAGACAGATCTTTGTCGCATTTCCTCCCCTGCACTGCGCCCGGCTGTAGCTCATGCCTGGAGTCCTGTAACTTTAGTTCGAGGCATGTGCTAATCTGTCCATTTCTTTCCCTTCCACACTGCCGTCCAACTCCACCTGAATCTGCCAGTTGTACTGCAGTGATAGCGTCCTCATTGGTTATATTGCCTGTACCTTGCTTCCCACAGTAACACCTCATGGCAGCAGGAGTGGTATTTTAAATGTGTAATTATTTGGCCATGATAGGGCATCCTGGGTCAGACTTGTTCTCTTACCATAAGCAATTAGAAAACTGGATAGACACATCAGGTGGAGGTTTTAGATGTTAAGCAAGAAACAGCATAGAAATTTGATCTCTGGAAGGACAGAAATGAAGGTGGTGAGCTCTGGAATTGTCTTGGCTTTATGCCTAGAGGTGCTTTCCACGCTGCAGTGCAGGAAGTGGAAAATGGCAATCGAGCCATGTTAAGAAACAGAGATCAGAGTTTCAGAAAGCTGAAATGCCGGGTTGTTATTTGCTTCCTTCTCCTATTAGGCGGTAAGGTAATTTGCATTGAATGATTTATGAATGTTAGATCAATCGTGCAGATAAATCACATCTGCTAGACATTTTGTTTTTCTTATCTTTCTCAATTCTCACGTTGTCCGCAATGACCCAGAATTTCTCAGCCAAAATGCCACTTAAAAACTTGTTGGGATTTTTTGTTTTGTTTTGTTTTTTGTTTTTGTTTGTTTTAAATCTTGGACGTTTTCTTCAGCTCTTCTTTGGAAACTTTGCCAGTTCCACTTACCTAGTGAAGAGTCTGAAACAGTTGTCCATATGGTGTCTGATTTTACATTTCCTGAGCAGAGGATTTCCTTTGACATTAATACTCAATGTATGTTCAAAGAGAAACATTTCTGATGTATTAGGTGTTAATAATGGTCCTGTTAAGTAAACATTTCTGAAAACTCTAAAGCCAAAAAGGACTAAAACCCATTTCATTAAAAAATAACCGAAGGGAGGTGGGTACAGTGTTGCATACCTATAATCCCAGCACTCTGAGAGGCTGAGGCAGGAGGATCACTAGTTCAAGGACAGCCTGGGCAACTTAGTGATTCAGATAGGACCCTGTCTCAATAAATAAATAAATACATATATACATACATACAAATAAACAAGGGCTAGGGATGTAGCTCTGTGTGAAGGCTCTGGGTTCAATCCTCAGTAGTGCAGTAAACAAGCAGAGAGAGGGCTGAGGGATATCGTTCCAGGGTAGAACTGTTGCCTAGCAGGTGTGAGGACTTGGGTTTATGCCCTGGCCCCACACACAGAAATAAAATAATAAATAAATGAGGGGAAGCGCTATATTAGGATTCTTTTTTTTTTTTTTTTTTTTTTGCAATTGATAGATTAAGCAAAAGAGAGAATTTCTTGTGCAGCAATGTAGCTATCTGTCCATCAGAACTCTTGTCAGCTGTAATGGTTGCTACAGAGTTTCCCTATGATGGGAGACTTGGCTACCGGCAACTTAGATTTCACAGTACTTAGCATTGAAACACTGCTTTGTCTTATTCTACATCAAAAACATTGCTGCTCCGTGTGTGCCCTCGGCCCATCAGCGGTGGCCAGAGACACGGTTAGGGACACCCTCTAAGAAAATGGTTTGAATGGGGGGGCATTTTTCAAAAGAGGGAAATTTTTTTTTTATTAGTACATGTTTGCAGTACATGAAGCTTACATTCATCGCGGGGAGTAGTCAGAGGTTCGTAATCAGCTTGATTCTTTGTGGTCAATCCCCTCCCCCTTGCCTCCTTCCCTCCTCCGCTAAAGCCCCTTTCCCCATTCTCCTTCGTGTTAATATTAGGACTCTCATCTCATGTGTATGATATATAATGTTACATTCCTTTAGGTCAGTGGCGGTGAACCTATGACGTGCATATTTGTTTCTCTATTTCTGTACTCTTAAGTGACCTTCTAATTCCTGCAGAAAATATCCTGACATCCTGTGCGTGGTGTATAAATTTATTTTGATCTGAGCTCTGGGTCTCTTACCACCCTCTGCCTAGAAAACACGCTTTGCTGTTTAACGCCTCGGATGTCTCTGGTGTTCCAACCTCCGACGTCTCTTCTCATGGTGTCTGGAAAGCTCCTGCTGTCTCTGTGTCTGCTCTTCTCTTTTGACCTGGAAAATTCTTGCTCCTCCTTCAGTAGTAAGCTGAACACTCTCCCCTTTGAAGTCCCCTTGGGCTGATTCTGATGCACCTCTTCCAGGCTTCCCCTCTCTTCGCTATCTGTATGGCTGTAGCATTCATCATACTATGCTGTCATTATCTGTTGTCATTATTTGTCCCACCAAATTAGAAATTATTTAAGGGTAAAAATTCTCCTTTAATCTTTACAGTTCCAGGTCTGATCAAATACTTAATTAGTAGGAAAAGAGTGAACATATTAATCATAATATTTTCTTCACTAACCTGGCCAGGCACAGTGAAAAATAGAAAAAAGGAATCAGAATTATTTTGATTTCTATTTTCAGATATGACAATATTTTGTTTATGACTTCAAAAAGTAAAATGGAATTATAGACAAATTTATTAAAATTCATCAAAAATGGATATTCTGTCTCTAGTTTTAAGACAAAATTGGCTGCAGCATTGGCAAGATGTCGAATCAAACATGACGCTCTTTCCATTTATCACATTCTGCCGGAAACGGTGAGGAAACAGGAGCTGAGAGCCTCCACCCTGCCGCTTTACGCTTGGATAAATACTTGTAAGATAAGGTGAGAGTTTAATCAGATTTTTTACTCATATTCCACATTTCAAGTCTTCTTCTTTTAAAATGATGTGATAAGAAAGGTTATCTTTTTTTTAGGCAGAGATTTGCTGTGTAGTTCCAACTGGCCTTAAACTCGCTATGTAGCCCAGATTGGCCTACAATTCACAGTGATCCTCCTGCCTCAGCCTCCTCAGTGCTGAGATCACCAGCACACCTGGCTAGAAATACTACTTTAAAGGTGGGGGGCACACCAGGGGAATAATTATAGAGTTACAATTTAATTCCAGATCTTATCACCAAATTACCAAAGGTAATTACATAATGTGGCAACTTTTGTTTCTAATTATCCTTTAACTTCTTACTGGCTAAAATTATGAATCCCATTAGATGTAAGATATGCAGTAATATTTTGTTACAGGAAAAGGTGTTAATGTTGAATATGTTTTTAATGTATTAAATTTGTGATTATACCCTAATATTGTATATTTACAGCCCTGAAGAAGTTTATAGTAATTTGAAGAAAAAAGGCTATAATAAAGTCAAATCTGTATTGCATATTGATGATAAAGTCTTCGCTGTGGACCAACACTGCTATGATGTCTTGATTTTTCCATCTCATCTTAAAAAAGATCTTATAAGTATAGATCTTTTCAAAGATTATAAACTTATTTTTCAGGTAAACTCTATTTATTTTCATTGTGATTTTCAGCAATCCCGCTTCTTCGAAGAATTCTTCTAAACAGTGTTTACATTTTAATCGATTATTGGAGAGGTTTGTAAGGCCTGATTGGCACCACGAGTAAAGTGGATACCTCTTCAATCAGTGCTCCTTTTATATCTTGGCATCTTAGTTTTGTGAAGCTGTAAAGAACATATTCTGCTCTCCAGAGTCCTAGGAGAGGCTGCTGGCACCTGAAAGCCTGTTTTATTTTTCCCTAGGGGAGGATTAAAGGCAGCTGCAGTGAGACCTTTGCTTTCTTTCACTTCCGGTTAAGACACCGTGCCACCTTGCATATGAAAAGGCAGTGCTTCATACTTCTCATACTCACTTTCTTATAGTCTTGCAGCTTTGGTTTGTAGGAGGTGGATAACGGCTATCAGTAGGAAGAGAATGAGAGGAATAATGTGGATTCAATAGAATGAAAATTAGATGGTCCAAATAATTAGGTTAAATTCATTTTTATATCCTTAGATTCTAGTTCTGGCCTGAGATGCACTAACGTTTTTTCCTTCCCCACACCTATGTTCTTTTTTTTTTTTTTTGGTACCAGGAATTGAACTCAGAATCTTATGCTTGCCAGGCAGGCACTGTGCCACTGAACTATATCCCCGGCCCACACCCATGTTCTTGAGTAGAATTTCTTACCTTATCAAGCCCTGAGATCAGCATCTTTTCTAATATCATAATATTAATCTCTTGGAGCTGGTGAATAGCAGTTTAGGTGACAGTGCAATGTGGAAGAAACCTGCATGAGCAGATGAATGGGGCTTTTTTTGTTCATTTCTTTGAATGGGTTTTCGTGAAGGGGTGGGGATGGGAGCTAACACAAGACATCACTACTCTGTTAATCATGTTAGTGACTTAGGCTGAGCAAAGTTAAGCCCTTCGTTATAAATATACTTAGCAGTCTTCTCAGTTAACTTTTATTTAGACATATGTTGAGATGTTTTAAACTGAAATGGGTTAAGTATCTCTTCAAGATCCTTACCAAATACTTTCTTTCACCTACAGCAAAATGAAGTCAATTTATGTTTCTAGTCAGGCCCTTTGAAATTTTAATCATACTGGTTTTTTTTGTAGGACAAATCTCGAAGTCTTGCTGTCCATTCTGTAAAGGCCTTATTAAATATGAATGATGATATCTTAATGGTCAATACAGGTTCATGGTACACAGTTGCCCATATGTCCATCTTAACAAATAATAATAACTCAAAAATATTTGTATGTGGAGTACAGTCACAAGCCAAGGATCCTGACTTGAAGAACCTTTTCACAAAAATGGGATGTAAAAGTAGGTACAAATAGATATTTGTTTGGTGATGATTGTTCTATAGGACTTAAGAAATTTTCAAAATGTTTGAATTTATAATATCTTGTTTGTTTTTTTGTTTTTGTTTTTCTTCTGGTACCAGGAATCAAACTCATGACCTTGCGCTTGCCAGGCAGGTGCTGTGCCACTGAGCTAAATCCCCAGCCCCAATTTATAATATCTTGTGATTTACAATCTCTATATGTGAAGTAAATTCTTAAAATCCTCACTGCATTATATCAGGTTGTTCTTTTTTGTTGTTGTTGTTTTTTTGAGAGAGAGTTTCACTGTGTAGTTCAGGCTGGCCTTGATTTTCTTTTTTTTTTTGGTACCAGGAATTGAACTCACAACCTTGTGCTTGCCAGGCAGGCGCTGTGCCGCTGAGCTAAATCCCCAGGCCCTAGGCTGGCCTTGAGTTCGCTATGTAGCCCAGGCTGGCCTTGAACTTGCAGTGATATTCTTGCCTCAGCTTCCCAAATGCTGGGATTATAGGCATGCACCACCAAGCTCAGCTATCTGGCTGTTCTTATTTAATGTTGGTTTAACAGCTGTAGGTTAATTAATATGTTGGTACTTTCAAGTTGTCTTTAGTATTTAGCTATGACACAATTTTTTGGTACTGGGAATCAAACTCAGGACCTTGCACTTGCCAGGCAGGTGCTTATGCCACTGAGCTATATCCCCAGCAGCTATGACACAATTTGAGGCTCAGACATTTGGTTGAAGTAAATGAGCATCGATTTAATAAATAAGAATACTTTCAGATAAGTACTTAATTGATAAAGATAATATTCAAGACTAGAAACCAAGTATTGTAGGCTTTCTGTTTTTGAAAATGAGTATCTGCTGGATTATGCAAGCTAAGGACCACATTTTACTATATATTCAGTGAGAGCCAAAGCAAAACTTTGGAGAGTCTTAGGGCCGAGGAGGCAAAAAGTTGAATTCAGGGCTTGAAGTAGAGGTAGCCTGATAAAGACTCAAGATTTCACTTGAAACATAGAAATAAACTCTGAGTAATGATTAGTTCCCCCAAAATTGGAGCCCAAATTGTAGTCACCCTAACTCCCAATTGGATTGAGATTATCTGGGACTGCTAGTGCCCTGTCTTACTGAGTCTGCTTTTTACCTGCAAGAAGCAAAAGGTAATTCTCTCTAAAAGCAAATAACATCATCCTCAGTTTCTAATTATCTTCTAAATTTTTCCAAACACAGTGTCAGTTAAAAAAAAAAAACACTGGACAAATAAGAAAAGATATGACTGAAATATTAAACTGATACCACCCTTAATCTTATCCAAAAGGCCAACAAGTAGTATATATGATTCACATAAAGACAAGACACTAAGTAGAGTCAGACCCACAGAGACTCTAAATTCTGGATGTATCTGATATGAACTTTAAAATAACTATGATTAATGTGCTGAGAGAACTAAATACCACACTTTCACATTTCAGTAGAGAACTGGAAACTATAATAAAAAAGAGCTAAAAAAAAAATTCTAGAACTGAAAAATACAGTATGTGAAATTAAGAAGTCAGTAGGACTGAGGTATAGCTTAGTAGTAGAGCTCTTACCTGGAATGTACAAGGCCATGGGTTTGATCTCCAGAAACAAATAAAAAGAAGGAAATGGATGGCTATAACATTAAATTAACAAAGCAAAAAGAAATAAGTAGACTGATGATCGGAAGAAAATGTCCAGACTAAAACGTGGGGAGATGGAAGAATGAATACCTTCAAAGAAGCCCCAAGACACACTCGAGGCTGAGTGATCCACATGTGTTATGACTTGAATCACAAGGACAGAGGAAAGAGTTTCTTTGGGAGTTAGAAGGAAGCGATATTTGAATTTCAGGCTGGGAATTACCCAATGCAGATAAATGACTCTGAGCCACAGATTCAAGAAGACTTGAGAACTCTAGTAAGAATAAATGTATGGGAAACATACTATGGGGTGAAAGTTTGCATCATTTCATATGTTAGAATATCATACGAAATATCATCCATTCATATGTTAGAATCGGATCCCCAAGGTGATAGTAAGAGGAGTAGGGTTTTGAGAGGTGACTCGGTGATAAGGGCAGAGCCCTTGTCAGTGAGGTTAGTGCCCTCATGAACAAAATCCCCACAGTTAACTAGCCCCGTCCACCGTGTGACACAGCAAGAAGGTGCCAGGTATGAAAAAGTGGGCCCTCGGACACTGAATTTGTAGTACCGTGACCTTAGCCTTGCCAGTCTCCAGACTCATGAGAAGCAAATTTCTGTTACTTACAAGCCACTCATGCTATGATATTTTGCTGTCTTCCATAGAGAAAGATAATATGGTAGCATATGGTAGCATAATCTTAGGCATATGGTAGCATAATTGCTGAAAACCTAAGACAAAAAATAATGGTAAACAGCCAGGGAGAAAAATGTATGCTACCTACAATTAAATGGTAATAAAACCAAAAAACCAACTTTTCAACAGAAATGATTGCTGCTAGAATTCTGTTTAACTGTATCTTCATAGTGCTGAAAGAAACTTCCAGGATAGATTTTTTTTTTTATATCCGGCTAAAATAAGCTTTGAAATAAAATGAAATAAAGATACAAAGGAAACATACTGCCTGGGTAAAAGGAATGTTATGTTGAAATGGGGGTGGCTGCAGAAAAGGAACAACGGAAAAGGAAAGTGCGTAGGTAAATCTAAGTGACGATGGTGTGTCTTATGGGCTTACATACTACTGTCTGTGGAATTACAAGTTTAATGTTGTATGTAATTAAAATAAATACAATAGTGGCATGGAATTTCAGAGAAAATGAAATGGAATTGCCGTGTTCTATGGTCCTGGCTTTTCTAGGAAGTAGTAAAAATAGTAAATGATATTAACTAAGTGGTGTGTGCTATAATTTCTAGGGTAACCAGTAAACAAATAATACAAGAATGTATCATTAATAGTTTAGAGGAGAGAGAATACAATTGGAATACCAATCAAAAAAGAAGGTAAAAGGGGCTGGGGATTTAGCTAAGTGGCACAGCGCCTGCCTGGCAAGCGTGAGGTGGTGAGTTTGATTCCTGGTACCAGAAAAAAAAAAAAGGTAAAGAAAAAAGAAAGGCAAGACAGACAAAAAGCAAAGAGGATGGTAGATTAAACCAAAGTACCTATATTTAAGTTTATATAACATTAAAATATTATATAGACACATTATAAAGTATATATTAAATACATTAAAATATATGGATTGAATACTTGAAATAGAGAAAAAGAATATCAATATTCTATTTTAAAAGATAAATTTTCTACTGTTTATACCCCTTAAATAAACGTACTGAAAATTTGAAAAGACCCAAAAAGATATGTAATGCATATATGGACAAAAAGAGTTATAAACAAAGAGATTCTAGTGAAGAAACATTCCTAGAACATAGGTATAGCTCAGTAGCAGAACATGTGCCTGGCATACACAAGGTTTAATCCCCAGGGCTTGAACAAAATCTTAGATGTTCATCAGGATATATAACAGTGCTAAAGATGTATGTATGTAACATCATAGTCTTAAAATATATAAAGTAACATTGTTTAGAATTAGCAAATAGGGGCTGGGGATTTAGCTCAGTGGCATAGCACCTGCCTGGCAAGCGCGACATCATGAGTTCGATTCCCGGTACCAGAAAAAAAAACTAAAAACCAAAAAAAAAAAAAAAAAAAAAAAAATAGATTCAGCAAATATTTTCTTACATAGCAAATGATAAGGAATACCTGAAAAAACTATTAGAACTAGCAAATCAGTATAACAAGGTTGCAGGATACAAAATAAATATATAAAAATCATCTGTATTTTTATACATTAGCAATGAATAATCTCAAAAGTTAAAAATTATAACATCAAAATTATAAAATTTTAGGAATAAATTTATTGAAAGAAGTGAAAGACTTGTATATTGAAAAGTGTAAAACATTATTTAAAGAAATTAGAGATGATACAAACAAATGACATTCTGGTTTTTTGTTTGTTTTGTTTTTTGTTTTGAGACAGGGTCTTATGCAGCTCAGGCTGGCCTTGAACTCACTCTGTAGCACAGGCCTGGAACTTGCAGCCATCCTGCCTCAGGCTCCCCACTCAGCCTCCTGAGTGCTGGGAATATAGGCATGTGCCACCACACCCGGCCATTCTGTGTTTATGGGTCAGAAAACTTCATATGGCAATACATCCCAGTTCGTTTTATAAATGATATCAAACTCTGAAAAGAACATTACAAAGACAAAAATTTTGAGGCAGGAGTAATGGTGCATGCTTATAATCCCAACACTTCGGAGGCTGAGGCAGGAAGATTGCTGCAAGTCCAAGGCCAGTCTGGGCTACATAGTGAGTTTATGACCACCCTGGACTCTACAGCCTATCTCAAAAAACAGAAACAAACAAAACAAAACAAAACAAAGAGAGAAAAGAAAAAATTAATCTGGGCCTATATCATACATGATCACAGTTATTAAAAAATCCATAAATAAAATATAAATAACTGTGTAAGTAGAAAAGTAATTTAGCAGTATGTTAGTGCATTATAAACAAGCTAAGTGTGTTTTAGGAATGCAAAGTTTGTCTGACTCTTAAAAATGAATTTGTACAATCACCAATCACATTAATAGAAGAATTATTACGATCATCTCAATAAGTGCAGTACAGGAATTTGAAAAAGCTTAACACTTATTCATGACATACACAGTTGATGTAGTGTTCAGAAGCTTTCTTTCTGGTGTAAAGAAGAAGCACTCCTGTCATCATTGTTACAATCAACATTGTGCTGCAGGTCATAAGGCAGTATGAAAAGGGAAAAATAAAACTGTCTAAGTAGGTAATCTGACATGTGTGTGGAAAATCCAAAATAATATACAACTAGAATTAATATGATTTTTGCAAGGTTACTAGGTACAAGGTCAGAATACAAAAATCTAGTTTTTCTATATACCAACAACAACTTGAAGTTTTAAAAACAGATTCCTTTTAAAATAGTATTCCATCTCATGCTATTAAACAGTTTTTGCAGGGCTGGGGATATGGCTCAGTGGCACAGATGCCTGCCTGGCAAGCACAAGGTCCTGAGTTCGATTCCCTGTAGAAAAAAAAGTTTTTGCATGTCAGAAGAAATCACCAACAGAGTGAAAAGAAGATCCACAGAGTGGGAAAAAATTTTAGCCAGCTGTTCCTCAGACAAAGGACTTCTATCTGGAATATATAAAAAACTGAAAAAAAATCAGGGCCCCAGATTCAAAGACCCAATCCAAAAATGGGCATCTGAGATGAATACATACTTCTCAGACGAAGAAATACAAATGGCAGATACATATATGAAAAACGTTTAACATCATTGGTCATTTGAGAAGTGCAAATTAAAAACAACACTGAGATTCCATCTCATCCCAGAAAGCATGGCTATCATCAAGAAATCAACTAATAACAAATGCTGGCGAAGTTGTGGGGAAAGATGAACCCTTCTCCAAAGTTGGTGGGAGTGTAGACTGATACAACCACTGTGGAAATCAGTGCAGAGATTCCTCAAAGAACTAGGATAGAGGTCCCATTTGACCCAGCTATTCTCCTTCTGGGTATTTTCCCAGAAGAATTAGAAACATCATACCACAGTGATATATGTGCACCCATCTTTATAGCAGCACAGTTTGTCATAGCTAAATCTTAGAAATAACCCAAAGGTGCATCAACCAAGGAATGGATAAAGAAGATTTTTTTTATACAATGGAATATTACTCAGCTATAAAGAAGGATAAACTTGAGGCTTTTATAGGTAAATGGATGCAAGTAGAGACTGTACTCATAAGTGTAATAAACCAGACTCACATATGTAAACATCATACTGTCCCCCTAGTAGAAAAAACTGAAAGAGTAAATAAGATCCAAAATATACAATAGATATTGTGAAATGGGAAGAAACTGCTCAAAAGGAAAGAATAACTGGGATGGGGGAAAGAAGGAAGGGAAAATAATATACACAAGATAGCTAAGATAATTATACTGCTAATTTCTATTCCTTAAAAACAATGGTTTCTTCTCAAATTGTTTAATTTTTTTCATGCCTGTATCTGGTAATCTGAGCAACTATTTTGAAGATAACAATGTGCAATATATTAACCATTGTTAATCTCCTACTATTGTGCTTTGAAATTCTGTACCATTGATTTTATTTTTTCTCTTCTAATAAAATAAAATAAAAAATTCTAACTAATAAAATAAAATAAAATAGTATCCCAAAATATAAAATATTCAAGAGCACTTCCAACAAAAGAGTGTACAACCTCCTTCCAAAACTGGAACATTATTGAAAGGAAGAAGCCCTGAGTAGATGGAAGAATAGACCATGTTCATGAATTGAAACACAGCCTGTCATAAACATGGCATTTCTCTCCAAGTTACTCTTAGAGGTTCAGTTCAATCCCAGTAAAAATTCTAGTAGTATTTTGGTGGAAATCAATTTTTTATGGTGGTACTCTCTGAAAACACTGAAAATGGAGAACAAAATTGGAAGACTTACTTCACTGAAAGGTTTTTTTTTCTTTTTTTAATTAAATTTTTTGAGACAAGGTCTACTGTGTAGCCCAGGATGGCCTTGAACTCAGGGCAATACTCCTGCCTCAGCCTCCTGAGTTCTGGGGTTACAGTTGTGCACCAACCATGCCCAGCCCTCACAGGAAGTTTAAAAAAACCTAAAACACCACAGTATTTAAGGCAGTGTGCAGGCAGGAAACAGACCAGAGAAACAGATGAGAGTCCAGAAAAGAACCAGAGGTAGTTACTTCATTTATGACTAAAGTGACACTGCAGAGAATTGAGGAAGTGATGAGCCTTTTGGTAAACTATGCTGGAAAAAAGTGAAATTGGCATTTCCTAATAATATGCTAATCTAAAATCCTTTTGAATTTATTACAGAGAAATAGGTTATGACCTGGAGGTAGGTTAAGATTTCTTAAATGATACATATAAAGTCCTAACTATAAAAGAAATGGTCAATAAATTGGGCTATAGGAAACCAAACTTCTGTGGATTAAGAGTGCAAAGACAAACCATAGAGAAGTACACAAATTGATGAAAAGTTTTTATCAACCATGTGAAAGAAACCTTATAATACAGCCGGGGAGACAGCTCAGTGGCACAGCACCTGCCTGGCAAGCACAAGGTCCTGAGTTCAATTCCCATTACGCAAAAAATGAAATAAAATAAACAAATTAAATTTTGGGCTGGGGATACAGCTCAGCGCACAGCACCTGCCTGGCAAGCGCGAGGTTGTGAGTTCGATTCCCGGCACCGGAACAAAAAAAAAAAAAATAGATGCACAAGGAATCTTACAAACAATAAAAAAGAGATACCTCAGTATGAAAATGTGCAAGAGACATGACCAGGTGTTTCACAAAAAGAAATTCAAATGCCAAACAAAATAATTTGTATACAAATGCCAAGTCCCATTAGCAATCAGAGAAGTGCAGTTAAAATCACAGTAACTCACTACCACACACGCATTGCATGATTAAAATCTAAAAGACTGGCAGAGTGTCTGGAATGGTTAGACACTCTGGGTGGCGCTTACATTTGTGTTATTATTCAGTATTATTCACTGAAGTTGAAATATACCTACATTATCACCCCACATTTCCTCCCCAGGATTGCTACCCCTTTCCCATCCTCCTAAACTAGTGTACATGCCATGTGACCAATAACTTGGTGACTATGGCGGCCAAGCACCATCCAATGGAGATCTTGAATACAAGAAGCATCATGTAGAACTTTACTAACTGTACACGTGACAAGTTTGAAGTGTGATTCTGTTCAAAAAGCATGTTAACAGATTTGAACATGAGGTGAATGAGTGTGGAATTTGTTCCACGTGTTTTGACCGTCAGACAGAAGCAACACCGTGTACCGATTTCATTGGAATTGTGTGATTGGGCCACTTCAGCCTCCAGCTTTTTAAGAAACATCCAAATGATGAAACTGAGGTCTGTATTATGATCTGGAGACCAAGGTTCAGAGTCCTCCATGGAAATCACCCAGTTCTCCTCGTGCAAAAAAAGCTCATCAATCAAGATCCAGCCTGAAGGTGACATCCACTATGTTTTTGACCTCGATGGAATTGTGCGAGTTGAGTTGGTACCCAGGAATACTACCGTTAACTCAGTATCATGGGGGCTTATTGGAACATTTAAGAAATGCATGAAGAAAGTAGCCTAAGAAATAGGCAAATGGTTTCATCCTTTATCATGACAACGCTCTAATCACACATTGTCTCTGGAACTGTAATTTCTGTCAAATAAAAACATTCTATGGTATGTCCTTAGCAGATGTGGCCCCGTGGGACTCTTGCTCTTCCCCAGAGTCAAAATGACCAGGGGAAGGTAAATGTTTTAAATTGATCCAAGACATCAAGACAACCACAAGAATCAGGCATACTGTGCCAGAGGAAGGGCTTGGACCTTGACAAGAGGGGCCTTCCTCACAGGACTTCGAGCAGAGGGGTGACTAGAGCACTGGGTTACTCTGGGCTTTGCAGAGATGAGCTAAGAGGTGACTGTACACGGGCCAGGTGTGGTACTGACTTCCACCAGGTGGTGTGGGGGTCGTACGTCTTGGCTGTGTGTTTATTAGATTGCACACGGGCCATGGGAGGGCGCAAACGTCGGGATCAGCGAAGGCTGTCGGTTTGTTCAGCTGGAAAGGTGAGGCTGCCCTTTCCTGCGGTGGGAAGACGACAGGAGGAGTTAGGTTTTGGTAGGTTAGGTGTACGATGCCTGTTTGGCACTAAGTGGCGTTGGCTGCCAGGCAGGTGGGTGTAGACAGAAATCAGTAGATATATGTCATAACCCTTGGAAAGAAATCCAAAGGCCAATACCTGGACATGGCAATACAAAGAGGGCAGGAAGTTGAATAAGAAGAACCCACAAGAAGAGTCAAGAAAAAGTGGGTGCAGCAACTGGGCCAGTGACCTCTTTCTGTCGCCTCTCAGCTGCAAACGCACCTCTCACGCTTTGTGATGCTCCCTTAGCGCTCTGCATCTCCCATTTCCCAAGGCCAGCTGCCCCGAGTTCCTCTCCTGTCAGAGCGCTGGAGAGGCCTTGCACGCCCCCTCCCTCCAGAGTCTGTCTCTCCGGGAGGTGGTGTCGGGTCCTGGCAGTGTTACCCAGAGCGTGTTTCTTGGGTAACTTGCCCTGTCCCCAGAGGGTTGGCCTTAAGACAGGGACACTGACAGTTGTAACCCGAGGGAGGCGGACCCTCTGAACCTGAATCACAGGGTCCTTGGAGGGAGGGAATAATGTCCACCAGTCTCTACCATGGATTCAGCACCTTCGACTGTGCCTTTTAAATGTTCCTGATAGCCATTTAATTTTCTCGGAATGATAGAATATAAAAGGGGGTGAAAATGGGACAGAGAAATAAAACCGAGCATTTACTATGTATGAGATACTGTGCTACACTTACAACTTTGTCTCAGTGTTGGCCACAGCTGTCTGTATAAGGAAACGGAGGCCTCCAGAGCTCACAGCTTTAGGACATTATCTAGGGCAGTAGATAGTCAGGGGTCAAACCTGAGTCTCTGTGCTCCCAAAGCCCAGTCTCGTACTACTCTAAATTGAACATGAAGCTCAAACTTCGAACTTTCTCTCAGGTAGAGGGGGCACTCCATTAAGAAAATTCCTGCACTGACTTTGGGATGTCATTAGAGAACAGTCAGTCCTCTTTTCTAACTACATTACAGTTTTTGTGAGGCTGAGGATTTTTAAATGAATCATACACAGATAGTCACCTGATAAATTCAGATTTTAAATTAATATTTTACACTAATTTTTTTTTTCTCCCAGATATTGAAATACTCCATGAGACATTTGTTAACATTGAATCAAAGGACCAGAGGTTGCAGAAAGTTAAAGTGATCCTGCTGCTGCCTCGTTGTTCAGGAGTGGGTGTTAGTAATCCAGTAGAATTTATTTTAAATGAGCATGAAGGTACTTATTTTAATTTCTAAATTATTATAAGCAATTGAGTATAGCCAGTCAGTTTTTGGAGAATAAATTTTATTCCCTCTTTTCTGTATTTGTCTCCTGATTGATTGTATTTATTCTTCTGTGCCTAAATGACTGATATGGCTACTTGGGTGACTATTTCATAGAGACTTGAAGAAAAATAATATTAAACATTTTCTGTGTTCTTTTGGAGAAACAGTAGAACTAATCATTACTTTTATTAATTTTAAGTCAATATTTTAATATTACCTATTTTGTTTTGATAGGTATTTTCCATGAAAATTGATTAGTAGGCAAAATAATTGAAAGATAATGTGATGAAAGTAAAGAGTCCTTCATAGAAATATATTAAAGGTATTTATTTACTCTTTAAAATTTAGATACAGATTTACTTAAAGATCTCTCAAAAGGAGGCACATCAGAAGATAAACTTCAAGTTCTTGTTCAACAGCAGTATGAGCAGATAACACATGCAATGAAATGTAAGTTTGTCATTAGTACACTCTTGTTAAAATTCAGTGTTAATCGTAGAAACATGAATACTTTATTATATCAGAGCAATGAAGTGAGAACCATAATCAAATTTTCAGAACATTCCTTTTTAGTACCTTCACATAACAAAATATTTTTATCAACTTAATCTAAGCCTTTAAAAATATATGTGTGATCATTTTAAACATAGGTTAGCTAGTGTAATTTAATTTTCTATATGCTGAGGTGACATGGTTATGCACATCTGTAATTATACATTGTCATCTTCCCTGTGTCTGCCGTCTTACTTGATGTAATTCTTCTGTTGTCATTTTGCCTACCCGTAAGAGCTCTTCCGCAGTCCAAGCTTTAATCCAGCTCTTACCTCTCAGCTCTGAATTGAGACCAGAAAGGTGTCATTACAGATAAAGCCTCGCTCTCTTGACTTGAGGTCTGAATAACAAGGCTCTTTAAGGATAACTTACATCACTGCTTCGGTCACTCCATTTAGATTTCAGTACTGTTTAGATTTTGAGTACCACTGCATTTCCACCAGTAGACAGAAATCTTGAAGTCTCTGAAGAATTAATCAACTTTCATTTCGTTTCGAGTATATTTATCAAGTGCCTACTCTGGGTTGGATCTTAAGCTGGGTGTTAGGCTGATGACCATGAATAAATCCTGACAAAGGCTCCGGGATGAGTCTGTGGATATAGATAATTCAATACATAAAGGTACACTTGAGGGAGAAATACAGCAAAATAGCACAAAGGAAGTCTGCCCTTCTGGTCGATGCTGTGATGCACCGTAATTTGAGTGTCATAGCATGTAGATGAGCTACTGAAATAAATTGGCTGGAAGATCTGGTCGGTAACATGTTCTATCAGTACATGTTTACAGTATGTAATGAATACATTCCCTCTGGGAGTTGGCACACACACATATCCTTTTTACTTCCTCTTCCTCAGCCCTTCCCCCAGATCCCCTTCCTATCTGCAAAAGGTCTCCCTCCCTGTTTCCTGTCCTCTGTCTTTTATTTTGCTCTTTTTTTTTTTTTTTAATTTTAAAGAATAAAAGAAGGATAACATAATAATAGGGGGGACTTAGCAAATTACAGACAAAATGGTAGGTTATTATCAATGGTTATCATTTTACATATTATTGTCTACAAAATAGTTTCTCAGGAAAACAAATAGACAAATAATAGTGAGTTACAGACAAAAGAGGTAGGAG